GAGAGGGCTGCACCAGCCGGAGCTGGCCATGAAACGGCAGCTTCTTCCTGCAACGCATTTTAACAGAGTTTGCAGCTTTGAAGTGTTTTTGTGAGATGAACACAGTCTCAAAAGTTCTGCTTTCCGATAAAAACGAGTCAGACTTTCTATCAGATTTTTCAGCTCCTTGAGCACAGAGCTCCACCTTGAGCTCTTAAACTCTCCTACCAAAACCCACCCACCTGTCATTTCAAAAAGGGACACATTTAAGAGGAAAACTATTTTCTGTCAGAATCACTCCAAACTGCTTTAACTAGAGCTGGCTGCCAGAAGCGCTGCTTCTCGTCTGAAAAGAATTCTGCTTGTTTGTTCTGAATTTCCCTGTTGTGTAAATTGAGCTCTCCTCCAAACCTCATCCGGCAGCACTGCGTGACCAAAGCACAGAGGAACAGTTACCCTCTGGATGCTGCTGCTTCTTTTTTATTAAGCACAGGGCAGAGCTTTCTGAAGAGAAAGTAGATTTAACTCTTCCCTGCCTTTGAAACAGTTTTTTCACTTGCCCTCGGCATTGTGCTCGCCTACTCAGGTCAGCTGCTAAATGTTTTAGAGCATTTTCACTTCCACGAGTGAAGGACTTTGTGAAGAGGCAGCCCACAGAGTCTCAACTCCTGCGTTCGGGGATGTAGGCGTGAGGGTCCTGCTGCTTCTGTGCGGACAGCTACGACAGCGGTCATGCTCCCATCAAATGGGAAGAAAGCTTTTCCATCCCTTTATGCCTTTCCCTGGATATTTGGCTTCTCTTCTCTAATTCTGCACTTGAGGAGGGAACTGGAATCACATTTAAGATAAGCCACATTTTTTAGCACAGAATCTAAGACTACATCTCATGTAACAGCGATTGCTCAGAGCCAATCGCGTCTCGGAACTGGTGGGAACATTCAAAGAACAGCTGCAGCAATCCAGATCGACTCAGACCATTTTGGCAAAGATCACTTTACAGTCAATCTTCCCTTCTCTCTGTGTAAGAAGGAACAGGAGCGTGTTCGCTGGCCCCAGTCCCACTTCCCTTCTTTTGCCGTTTTCTGTTCCTCCGCCAGCGGCATTTCTGAGCATCGGACGTATTTTTACATTCATCTAAGATTTCTGCCAAAGCCTGAATGAAAAGCAGAAGCAGCACTTACTGCTCTTTTGAGCTAATCTCTGAAAAACAAATGGCCTGGAATCACCAGCTTTCTCACTGGAGCTTCTTAAAGCGCAATCTACTTTAGACCAACGTAGTGCTCCTCTACTGTGCAGGTGGTCTCAAGGAGTTCAAGCTCAGACAGCTGAAGCCTCTTGCTGCAAGAACAAACATGTCAGCAAGGACCACCAACTTAACAGACACTTCCGCATCTAGCCTGTGCCACCGACTTGCACTACAATTTTCTAGCACATACGTGAATTTGCAGACATGGCAAGGTCTGCGCAGGTCCATTTTCTTGTAGAATACATTAAAATGTTTTTGGTAGGAATATACACCTAGATGAAACCTGCTTTGTTTTGCATGAATGAGGTTTTGGTTTAATGGATTCCTCATCTCTCTATACCAGCAGGTTTGGATGCGGTGTTTTTGTGGTGTTTCTTTCTTTGACTTTTCTTTTTAAAGAAAGAGCAGGTCACCTTACCTTGTAGCTCTGTTGCATTTTTTTCCAGCTCTTCTGCAGGTGTTTCTTCAGTCTTCTGCAACACAGCTGTCCCTGGCTTCCCATCCACGGTATCCGTCTTAATAGTACCAAGGTTTACCAACAGTTGCATGACATCAAACTTCTCAGAAACTGCAATGTTCTCCAGCACTTTGAGGCATTTAAATGATTTCAGTTCACTCACGTTTTCGTCAAGAAAGAGGAGATAAAGGCTTAAGTCATCAAAACACTTTGACTTAAGTTTCAGAACATCAAAAGTTGGCAGGATTTCATACACTTTGAGAATACCCGAACTCCACCTCCACGGAACAAACATTGCATACACTACCAGCGGCATCACTAGAAGATAGACTATCAGGTTAATATAGCTGAGTACCTTGAAGACACCAACAGCAATAAGCTTGCACTGAACCACTTCTGGAACAGTTGTGTCATTCTTTAAGATCCCAGTTTTGATAGTGCAGAGAAACTCATCACTCAAAGAGGAGAGGCTAATGTAGTAGCCCAGGTAGAGGCATGCAATGAAAATAATTACTAGAGTGAGTAAACGGCAGATAATGTATTTAATTATTAGGCATTTGGAATTCTTCTTCGTCTTCAGGTACTGCTCCACAATTGGGTATTTAAAATGGCTTTCAGATATTTCCCACAAACTGAAAGAGAGAGGAAGAAAACCAAATCACATAGATCAGATGCTGCAGCATTCACCTACCTCAAATTTCAAAGAAACCTAGTACTCTAACATAGGCACAAGACTGGATTTCCTCTTACTGGGCTCAATCAAGGGTAGTTTTACCAAAGTCAACAGAAAAACAACAGAATAGCAGGTAAATGAAGAATATTGACACTCTTATACTGAAAAGCCACTTAAGAGACAAAAGAGCTCAGAAAAGGAAAATGGAAAAAAAGTATTGCCTTCGCAGCAAAAAAATATTTTTGTTCTTTTCCAGGCCAGGTATACCAGAACAGGTATAGTAAGCAAACCCATAAGGAGAAGCAAACTTCCCAAGCATCTGTTTGGTAATAGCACGCTGGAAGGCTTTTTACTTGTCAAGACCTAAGTCTGCATTTTAAAGAACAGACTGAAGTCCCCACTGCACTGCCTTCTTACCCGAACATGCCAGGAGAAACAGGTCCCCTGACCTAGGACGAAGCAGAAACTGGATCTGCTTAGAACAGTGCACCAATTTGATCAGAGAGGAGGCTTTTGCTTTTGTTTGTTTTGGTGTTCGCTTTTTATTGTTGGGTTTTTTTTTCTTTATACAGAAGCTTTGCAAACCTAGATCTGAAAGAACAGGAGATGACAGGCTTTGCTCACAGCATGCAAGTGACTGTCAGGAACTGAAGACTACAGCCACCGCTGTTTTCTTGTGCTGTGGTGGGTAAAACTAATTAACACCTAATACAACTAAAGAAACCAGGACATCTCAGGTAATCAGTAATCTGTAGAGCTCATCAAATGTTTTCTTCAAAAAAAGAAAGTTATAAATTCCAGTGCCCAAGTGCCCACAATAATGATTTCAGATATCTTATTTTTTCAACAAAATTTAAAAGCATGTCAAGTCAACATTCAAACCTTTGCAATAAATTTCTAAGAGAGTGCAGGTGTCAAATCTGTTAAGAGCTTAAGGAAGAGAGCAAAGAAAGTCAAGCCCCAGCATCTTACCTCTGAGTCAAGTTCTCATTAACTGCTGGAACCAGGCCAGCAGGGTCCCTGGGGTCTCCACTGCGGATGCTGTTAGCAGCTTTGATTGCCCTGTTATAGGCTTTGTCAAGTTCTTCCATAATAAATTTCAGGTCTGAAGAAAGGTGAGGTGCCGCAGTGAAGCGCCAGAACAAACATGGTAGATACAGCAGGATAGCGATGAGCAGAAGGATGTATGGGAAGAACTGAAGGGAGAAAAAATTCAGATTAGGCTCTACTTGTACATAAAACGTCAGCCAGTCACCATCATTCCCTAGAAGTCTATTAAATTCCCTATAAGCCTATTAAATTCCCCATGATTTCATTTAAATGCTTTTAGTAAAACCCACTTCTGTGGTTATTGGGGATATGCAGGGAAGCAAATTCTCTTTTCAGACAGCTCCAGTAACCTTGCTGCTGCTTAGAGCTTCACAGAAAAAAAAAAAAAAAAAAAAAAGAAAGCAGAATAATGTTACCATGATCCTGATAACATTTTCATTGCATATTCAGAACTGCATTGCTGGAGCTGAAATTGAGAGAGGCAGCATTAACCTGGGGAACAAGAAATAGCAAAGGCAACCAAAGCAGCTGTCACAGAGGGTGACTGGAAGAGTAGGACAGCGCCATACAACTCTCCCTCCCAAATGTGTCACCACTGTTGATAGCAACTAAAATGCTCCAAACACCAGCAACATCTCTCCTGCTCTCCATTAGCTGTCAGGAGCTTAATGAATAGTCCATTTATAGTGCTGCATCTGCTGGCAAGCACACACAGAGACTGTAAAGGATGCAACTACGGTTGTAATATTTAAGGGTACTTAACTATTTTTAGATAACTCCTAAATGGAAACCAACACATGGCATCAGAATGGTCTGGTGTTAATGCAGCACTGAGAAGTCAGCCCTTACACAGTCCCCATTGCTTAGGGAAAGGGCTGAAGCAGGTATAAAATTTCACAGAATCACAGAATCACAGAATAGTAGGGGTTGGAAGGGACCTCTGTGGGTCACCTAGTCCAAATCCCCTGCCGAAGCAGGGTCACCTACAGCAGGCTGCACAGGATCTTGTCCAGGTGGGTCTTGAATATCTCCAGAGAAGGAGACTCCACAACCTCCCTGGGCAGCCTGTTCCAGTGCTCCGTCACCCTCAGAGGGAAGAAGTTCTTCCTCATGTTCAGACGGAACTTCCTGTGCCTCAGTTTGTGCCCATTGCCCCTTGTCCTGTCACTGGGCACCACTGAAAAGAGCTTGGCCCCATCCTCCTGACACCCACCCTTCAGATATTTGTAGGCATTTATAAGGTCCCCTCGCAGCCTTCTCTTCTTCAGGCTGAACAAGCCCAGTTCCCTCAACCTCTCCTCGTAGGGGAGATGCTCCAGTCCCCTCACCACCCTTGTAGCCCTATAGAACAGTTTGAAGTCTTTCCATCTTTCTTATAGTCATCAGCGAGTAGGAGTTTACACCATGAGATTTAATCTCTAACTCCCTCCAGCTGCTGGGAAGATGGCATTTTCTATCTACTGTGACATCATATTCAAGGTGTACTTTCATACGTAACATTACCCTTACAGAGACATGATGTGACACCACAGAACCATAGAATGGTTTGGGGTGGAAGGGACCTTACAGATCATCTCGTTCCAACCCCCCTGCCATGGGCAGGGACACCTTCCACTTGGTCTAGCTGCTCAAAGCCCCATCCAACCTGGCCTTGAACACTGCCAGGGAGGGGGCATCCACAGCTTCTCCGGGCAACCTGTGCCAGTGCATCAGAACTAGTTAGACAAGCAGTTAGTTAATAAAATGTACTGCAAATTTGGCTAATCTCTAATTCATTACATTCAACTTTTGATAGTAAGCACACTTTACTCAAATCCAGCATCAGGTCCTAAGGAATTTTGAATTAATTGTGGTGAACAAATTTGAAACGGATTTAAGGCATCTTAAATGTTACGGCCGTGCACACATGTATTTACTGAAAAAGCCAATGCAGAATTTTAGAGGAAATTTGGATTGAAGTCATTAATCAGTGCAAGCAGAACAACTCCACTTACATTTGTAGATATTTAACAAGATGAGAATCTGGACCCAATACTAATATGTGAAGTTGTGTTTGCATTAATCAAGAGAGACTGAAGTTGTGTATGCACATAATAAACAATTTGATGTTATTTAACATTTTATCCAGGAATGCTACTTCTAATATCACCTACCATTAAAGCAAAATCTTATGTTATTATTAACACTAGGAATGCATATGACATATTGGCACATAAATAAAAACTGACTTCTTAAAGGAACTGCATCAGCAACTGAGGATTGTAATAAAGTCCATGACTCGGGATGTGCACGTTCTCTGCATAGCAGTCAGATTGGAAATTTGTGACACACAGTAAGACAAAGCCATGAAAAGCACGAAATAGCCACAGAAAACTGAGGATGTTGTATTAAAAGGTCAGCTTTCCCTTGCAACCCTTCTCATAAATTCACACTTCAACCGCTTCTGCTCAGTAGTAACATAATTGAACTCGGCCAAAATTGCTCTTCAGTCTCTAGATAAGTCCTCAAGAAAGAAAACTTCAGGAAAGGCTCATCTTTAGAACTGAAACAGAAATCCTGCGGGGATGGGCTAACCAGTAACAAGACTGGTCAGAAGCCTGGTTGACAAAGCAGAGTGGACCATAATGATACCGTGCATCCCACCAGAGGCAGCTCTTCCCCACCAGCAAGGAACCAGCATCAACCCCGAGCCGCTGTATCATAGGCTCACAGAATGGTTTGGGTTGCAAGGGACTTTGAAGACCATCTACTCGCCCTCCTGCCATGAGCAGGCACATCTTCCACTAGACCAAGTTGCTCAGAGCTCCATCCACCCTGGCATTGAACACCTCCAGGGAGGGGGCAGCCACAGCTTCTCTGGGCAACCTGTGCCAGTGTTTCACCACCCTCATGGTGAAGAATTTCTTCCTAATATCTAACCTAAATCTGCCCTCTTTTAGTTTAAAGCCATTCACCCTTGTGGCTGTTTCTACACACCCTTGTGAAAAGCCCCTCTCCATCCTTCCTGTAGGCCTCCTTCAGGTATTGGAAGGCTGCCATAGGGTCTCCCCACAGCCTTCTCCTCTCCAGGCTGAACAGCCCCAACTCTCTTAACCTGTCCTTGTAGGAGAGGTACTCCAGCCCATCATAGCTGTGGCCTGTCCCCTCTCCACTGCAGGGCACTGACCTCACAGACCCAGAGGGATCCAGGGGATTCCTTCTGATCTCCTGGAATTGCTGGGGACTGCTAATCTCCTCAGTACTTCCAGTGAATCCATACTATCTTCTGCACCACTAAACCATGCTCACCGAATGGATTGTCTACAGTCACCATCAGGAATTTCTGCCCTCCAGAACTCTTACCTACTCCAGCACCCAAGACAGCCCTCGGGTACGGGTGCTGCTCTTCTTTCTGAGCTGCTAACTGCTTTTGAGCAAACTGAGCAAGCTCACTCTCTGTAAACCATGTCCTTAGTGGCTGTCACCTCCCAGCTCTCAGGTCTACTTGCTGCACCCTTGACACGATCTTTCCCCTGCTCCAGCAGCCTCTCAAAACTGTGCAGACCCCTGCCCTCACTACCTCCTCTCTTCCCTCTTTCTACACAGCAGATAACCTCCGATTGTTTGGGTTTTTTTCCATCCTTTCCCATTGAGATTTAAAGCTCTGGTATGTCCAATGTTTTGCAGACATCTCGTCAACTCAAACCCACCAGCTCAAGAATCTGCCCTTCGTATTTGTCTCTGTGGACAATGCCACTGGGTCTCTCAGGTGAGGTCCTGGATGCTTGGTCCACCCAAAGCTTTATGGTTTCATGAACAGGCTCTTTCAGTCCTCTGCCTTCTGTATTATGTAGAAGTAAAAATTATTCATCTATAAACACAGCTTAAACTTATCTAAGCTCCTCTAAGCTGCCACAACACCCTTTTCCACAGGCCTTAACAAATTCCAGCCTGTATAAGATTGCTGCAAAGCCTGTTTGACTTCACTTACTTCTGTCATACAACCCTTAGCACCCTTCCACTGGTGCCAGGTAGGGAAAGAAACAACAAAGAAACATCTGATTTAGTAAGGAGCAGCCAAAATTTCTTGTATTGGTTTATACCACTTGGCTTTACCACTCACTCATTTGAAATTTCACAGGTGTCAGGAGGATTTATGAATTCCCTTTCTGACCCTCAAAACAGGAAATGCCACCAGCAGTATCCAATTAATCCTTGAGATCTCTTTACCACGAGGCCTACAAGACATGCAGCAAGAGGCAAGATAGTTGACAAACTGAAGTCACAGACCAAAACCTCCAATGTCCCACTCCCCATGTCTTCCTTGATACCTAGAAAAAGACTCTGCGGCCATGTTCTGCACTTTTGCAGCACATTGGCATCAGCCCTGTTGCTCTGCCCCAGATCTCCTCCAATCCCACCCATCTCCCCTGCCTCATTACAGACTGTTGTCTTAGGAAGACAAGCCTCTGCTGTCTTCCCCTGCACCTTCTCCTCTCCCCGACTCCTTCACCACCGCCTCTTCACCTAGAAGCTTCACACCACTGGGCCAAAGGCACATTTGCCACGTGTTCGCTGGGCGTCCCCTCGCCACGCTCTCATCAATCCCAAAGCTGCAGCTTATGGCAGCATGAGAAAACACTATGCAGCTCTTTTCTGAATGGTCTCAAAACCAGCGCAGCAGCGTGACCATTAGCCCAGCTCTTTTTGTCTGGAAACAAAAGCCTTTATTAGTCAGCCCTTCCACAGCACTTGATGCACGACTCCATCCTTCTCGGATTCTGGCTTTTTTAGAAATAAAAGATACGCTTGTTCTATCTGTTAACAGTAGGCTTAGATAACTAGCAAATTGTTTTGAATCATTAAAATTTAAGGCCTTGAATCAACAGGCAGAAGTGAAAATGCAAAGTCATCTGGCATGAGTCCTAGGTTTCAGAGCAACAGACCCAGATTATCCGGCTCATCTGACTACATTGCACTGTCACACATAATGACTTCCCATTTTAAGAAGAGGACTCTGTGGCATTCATACACAGATGAGCGTGTGCCCTATGCCTCTTGTATGGTTTATGTATTTACTTCCAAGGCACCAAATACACAAGGAGGAAATGCTACCTCAGTCTTGGATAGTCTGCAGTATTTAACTTCAATGGGAAGCGTCACTGAC